CAGGAAGATGGGAGAAGTGGAGAGAGAAATCAAAACTGAGAATGGATTAAATTAATGGCCAAACATCTGAAAACATGGGTCCAGAAAAATATTCCTCTCCTGTTCTGCTCTTTTACTGTGTCTCAGTCCCTCAAATAAAATACACACACTACAGGCTTTTTACTAAAACTAAAAGCAGATGTAGGTAAACCATAGATTTGTATACAGATATATATATAAATATATTTACCATGTAGTTGCACTGCACCCGCCAGCAGGCGTCAATCACAACCCACAGAGTTTGAAATGCCACAGCAGGGTGAGCCGTACTCTGAGATGGATAAATAAATAAATACAGTTGGGTTTTCATTTAATTCATTTTTTTTCTTATTTCCAAGATCAGACTTCCGCGCAGTTTGTTTAATGTTTTGCCGCTCTGAGCAGCCACTTCATTTCCTTTGGGCATTGCATTGTAAGACAGTAGAGCACATAAATAACACACTCAAAAATCAAGCATTTGCTAGAATGCGCGCCAACTCTCGGGTATAACTCCAGTTTCTTTAATCTCGGTTGTTATTTTTGCCGGCTTCACAGTCATTTCTGTTTACTGTAAAATTATACTTGTCAAGATAACTGTCCAGATGAGATGGAGAAAGAGGAAAAAGTGGTCCAGCTGATTAGACAAACACATCAGACCTGTCAAATGTATTTAGCGGAAGCGTCTCTTGTAAACATCGCCAGCAGCTTCTACCAAACGTTAATCCATTCGACTGACTCGGTGAAGGTTTGTGAGTGACATTATTGATTGTTTGCTTGCAAATAAAATCTAATGGCATCTATTTGTCAGAGAAAACTACTCATTCAGCATAAAATGTGTTCCTGTAAATGATGTTTTTGGTATTTTTGTGCACTGGTCAAAAAAAATCAAAGGAACACTTTGGAAACACATCAGATTTCAGTGAGAAAAGACAGTCGTGCTGGATACTGATGACTGGAAATGAAATCAACATACAGAGGGCTGAATTCAAAGAAGCACAGAAAATCAAAGTGAAAATAATGATGTGGCAAGCTAGAGAGTACAAAAACGATATGTTAGTCAGGATGTCGGGCCCTCAGGCCGCCCTCATGAAGTCTGTTCCTGATTGTTTGATCAGAGACATTCACACCAGTGTCCTGCTGGAGGTCATTTTGTAGCTCAGGCAGCGCTCATCCTGTTCCTCCCTGCACAAAGGAGCAGATACCGGTCCTGTAATCTCCTCCATGTTTTTGAGACTGTGCGGGAGACATAGCAAACCTGTTGGCTATGGCACGTATGTGCTATCCTGGAGAAGTTGGACTACCTGTGCAACCTCTGTAGGGTCCAGGTATCACCTCATGCTACCAGTAGTGACACTGACTCTAGCCAAATGCAAAACTAGTGAAAAACAGTCCAAAAATATCAGGAGGGAAAATGTCAGTGTCCTCTACTTGTACAAACATTCCTGTTTTGGGGCTTGTCTCATTGTTGCCCCTCGAGTGCACTTGTTGTTAATGTCATTAACACGAAAGCAGCTGAAACTTGTTAACAACCCCCCTCTGATACTTAACTGACCAGATCAATATCCCACAAGTTTAAATGACTTGATGCTGATAAAAGCTGTTCCCTTTGTTTGTTTCATTTTCTGAGCAGTTTATGTTATTATTGTGGTTGTAATGTGTGGCTTCACTTCAAACCCCTTTAAAATTTAAAAATGCATTGAGACGAACCAGTTGTCTTTTAGTTTTTTGCTAAAAATGATACAATAAGACAGACATATTTGTGATAAGTAAAAGCATCTTTGTGTGAACCCCTTGTGTAGAAATTGTAGTCGCCACTAAATGTTTCTGGTAACTATCGATCAGTACTTAGAGGAGATTTCGTCTCCTCTAACAACAGCTTCAGCGTTTGATGTTGGCGGGTTTCCTGCTTCCTTCAGCTCATTCCAAAACATTTCTATAGAATTAAGGTCAGGACTTTGACTTGGTCGTTCCAAACCATTGGCTTTATTCTTCTTTCACTAATCTTTGGCTGTGGGTCATTGTCTTACTGCATGACTCACTTTCTCTTGAAATTCAGTTCGCAGGGAAATGTCCTGACATTTTCTTTAAGAAATCGCTGGTGGAATTCAGAATTCATTGCTTCCCCTATTGAAGGTAAGCTAACCTGGCACAAATGGAGAAAAACAGACCTAAACCATCATACTGATACAGATGACAGTAACTGCAGGTGGGATAAGGTTCTTATGCTGGATTATTGTGTCTTTCTTTCTCCAAACATGAAGTGTCTTATTTAAACCAAAATTTGTTGCATTATTCCAAAAGCCTTCAGGTTTGTTCTCGTGATCTTTGGAAAACAACAGACAGGCAGCAGCTTCTCTTTTTGAGAGCAGAATCTTTCTCACTGCAGCCAAGCTATGCACAGATTCAGATTTCAGTGCTCTCTTGAACTCATGAATATGAACATTAGCCAATGTGAGAAAGACCTTTAGCTGGTTACAGGCTACCTTTGCATAATCACTGACCTCCCACACTATACCTTGCTCTTGCTGTGATCTCTTCTGTGGAGGGCAACAACGGTCTTGAATCTTTTGAATCAATGCACTCGAAACTTTGTCTGAAGCCCTTTGAAAGCGTGTTTGTTTATTTACCTCCAGAAGCTTCCACTTGAGCCCAGTGGTTCTCAAATTCTGGCGGGTGGGGGGCACAACTCAAGCGAACCTTTAATGCTAGTCTGTAGAAATAATCCTAAAGAAATAAAATAATGGGAATCTGGTCTTTAAGTGATAACGTATGAACCCTGCAAACTACTCTGCATTTATTAAGGCTACTGTGATTTTAACATATTATAATGCTCGGTATCTTGTTCTATTTAATCTGAACACATCCCATGAAAAAAAGGCAATGATCACTGTTGGGCTCTCTTGGTTTTTATTACCACTGTTCAATTTAAAGCTCTGTTTTTAAAACCTTACAATGTAACTACAGCCCAGCCCATGCAGCAGTATATTAATGACTAACTTCATATTGTGGATAGATTATCTCAATTGTTCACTGTGTTTATATTATGCTAACCATAGCTCTGTAGCCCGCCACCACGTAGCACATCGTTATATACCAGCTAGCCCAACTTCAGTAGCACTACAAACATCGCTGCTGTTTAGTTTTCTGTCTTCATTTATTTTGGAAGTGATAGCAGAGCTGTACGTTTTAATTTTTCAGAAATCTCTCAGTCAGAACATGGTGTGTCATCTTTAGATGGAAGCAGGCAAGTTAACTTCCTGCTAACTTCTAACTCTGTTAAATTTCATAAATCCTCTTTTCATGGATGCCTGGATGTTAAACTTAATTGTTACACCTGGTAAAGCAGCAACGCTGATCATTTTATTAAAGATGAAAGGATTTAGACAGTTTTTAACTCTCGGTGATGCCGCAGTGTTTGCTTAACTTTAAAGCGGAGTTTGGACCCAGAAATGGCTAATGATGTCAGACTTAAACACCAGGTTGGACACACAGGTGCGTAAAGTCAGGGAAAATGAGACAAGGGGAAACCTCAAAGAAGGCACAAAGAACAAATAACTATCAAAATAAAGAAGGAAGTGAAACATGATAACTGAATTGAAAAACAAACACGAATTTACTGACACAAGAGGATGAAAAATAAACTCTAAAGAAACAGGAACTGAAAATGGAACAAACCAGCAATATGAACAGAACTATAACCAGGAAAGTAAGTAATACAATCACCAGAAAATACTCAAAATAAAGCAAAACTATAAAGTCCATAAACACGAGATGCTGTGGCAGTATGTTCAAAGCTCATGTTATGTTATTTTCTTGCTGTGAAACCAGTTCAGTCAAGTAGAAAGTAAGACACATCCAGCCAAGCTTGAGCTTTGCTAATATGACAAAGCATAAGCGTCAGTAAAATATGTCATCTATCTTTCTACTATAGATGAAAAGAGCTATAAAATGAGATCCTAGTTGTAACAAACTAAAATGATCTTTTGTTTTTACATGTGCGACTGCATGACGAACTGAATCCACACCAAGTCTTCTTTGAAACAAACAAAACCTCTCTCCCATCAGTCTTTGGCTCTCTGAGGTGCAGCGCTTACATGCTTTACATCTGCTTTCTGTCAATAACCGCTCTGATTCTTAACTACCCACAATGGATCAGTAACCGGTTGATCTCATGCCCCCTTTCTGCTCTCCCTACGCAAGCACACGCGTACTTTAAACTGCACGTTTGTTGTTGTTGCTGTTGGTGGTGGTGGTGGTGGTTGGCTTTTGTTTTTTTTTTCTTCCATAGTGATTCTCTCAAGGCTTTGATCAAATATAGAATAGAAGCTGCTCCCTCAAATCCACGTCTTCCTCCTCCATCTCATCTGCCTCTGAGTACCGTTGGAAGAAGTCATTCCCCATACACTTCTGTATAAATACAGACATGCACCATACAAATACATGATATATGAAAAGTGTTTACGCTTCATATATTCATATAGTTTCATTTTTTGTTGAAAATATACCCCACAAAAAATTTCCTGGCAAATTGACTCAGCAACAGCCGTAGAAAGAAGATTTAGGAGAGGGTGAGAGAGGGAGAGAGGCCTGTTGAAGGGACAGACAGTCCGATTGAGAGAGGAAGCAAACGGGAATTGGAGACAGAGATGAAGAGAAATGAAGTGAGACAGAGGGAATTGGGGGGGGGAGGAAGGTGAGCGACAAGAGAGATGAAGGAGAGAGTGTGTGGGTGGGTGGGGGGGGGAAGGATAAACTATTTGTCACGCTGCTGACGGAGAGAGATTGAAAAAGAAGGAGTGGGAGAGAAGAGTGGAGGTTGTCTTGATATAATGCTTTCTTATGCTCTTAAAGTACCGCTGTAGTCTGTCTACTTAGCTCCAGCTCTGGCTTGTTTTGTTGCTTATTTCCTTTCTCTTCTTCTTTTTTTCCTCCTTTTCTTTATTTCCCTTTTGTCCTTCCTTCCTCGTCTGCCCTCCCCGCAGGCACGTCTATAATCCAGGTGACGGCGACAGATGCTGATGACCCGACGTATGGGAACAGCGCCAAGCTCGTGTACACACTGGTGCAGGGCCAGCAGTACTTCTCTGTCGATCCCCAGACAGGTGAGCGTGCTTATGTGCGTTTGCGTGTAACACACGTGGGCGGACGAATGTAAAAGATGCGCAGATCTCAGAAGGCAAACACGCACGCATGCAGCAGGAAAGCGACATACATGCAAGATGTTCAGGAGCGAACAGCTGAGCTCGGTCTTCACAGTACCCGACATGTCTGTGCTGTGTGACGGCCTAAGGAGACGCACACGTGTTCGTGTAGGTGTGTGTGAGACACAGGTGGAGTGAAACACTGGGGAACCCGTGGACCTGCATGCATGAGTACAGAAACATGTCTCTGACTTTCTCACACACACACACACACACACACACACACACACACTGAAAGCAACACTCCCCCCCCCCCACCAGTGCAACTCCCATTCTCTTGTCACACTTAGTCATCCATCTTTCTCTCTTCCCCTTTTCCCACTTGTGCCCCATCAAACACATACACACTTGCTCTTTCAAGCACACACCCCCTCCCCCCACCTCCACCTCTTTCCCCCTCTGCGGTTCGCTCCAGCATGAGCTGGCAGAAATGTATTCACGCCGCCAGGCTGCGTGTGCCGAACAACAGCCTAATATTATTATTTCTGGGTGAAGCAAAAGTGAAAAAGACGCGTTTAAAGACACACGTCAGCGAAGGCTTATGATCTCTGATGCAGGGCAGATTACAAAAGGGCTTCAAGAAGGCGTCTGGCGTGCCTGTTGTCACCGTGTCGGAGTCTCGCACACGTCACCTGAGGGCAAAAAGTTTTATTGTCGAGCGTTTAGGGGTTGAGGGTGGAGGAGGGCGCTTTATTTATTAATTAATTTATTTAACTTTATGATGATTACTTTTTTAGCAGTCTACCTTGGAGGGGACTTTTAGCTCTGTTTAGTCAGAAATGGAGCACTGACTGTCTTGATGTTGTAGGTGCTGTTTTGATAGGCAGCGCGCATTGAAGAGACATTAAGTTTCACAGTAAAACTCCATATCTATTAACTTTTTCAGATTTTTTTTTTCTGTCTGCCTGTAGAAGTGAGAGCCTCCATGTGAGCATTTATTTTGCCCACACAGTCACAGGTGGCCAGCACTCGTGTTTTGCTCATTGAATGTCAATGCCTGGTAATTGATTGCCTCGGCACGTGAGGACCTCTCAAATAACCAAAGGGAGCTGCAGGACTCTTTGAAATATAAGCCTAATTCCACACAGTGTGTATTAGCCGTGACACTGTGCTTTCAGAAGAGCTTCAGCATTCCGAACATGTCCGCTCTCCTCTTCTCGACTCCCTATCTCCCTCTTTTCAATCACCCCCCATTTCTCGTCGGTTCCATCACCGAGGGTCTTTTTCAGAATGTGCACTCGGAGGCGAGCGCGTTCGCTCATACATTTACTTTGTTTGTTTATGAATTCTGCTCAGAAAGCTCGACATATTTCTGCCTGTTCGTTCGTTAGCATTCAAAACAGCCCAGGCTGAATGTGATTCACCTTGAGCTGCCAAGTCATCCAGGCCGGTGTTTTTTGGTTGATGCTGGGCGAGAGCGGGCAGAATTTGATGTGCAACATCCAATCACATGTAGCAGAATGAGGTCATTTGCACGGGGGAGGTGATCGATGTCGAACGCGAGTAAATGATTCGTCTTTGTGTGCCGCTAAAGAGCATGAGACACAGAACGTGATTTTATGCTCTGTCAGCATGTCTATCTGCTGCAGCGTGGTGATTTGTCTTTTCCAGATGAGCCCCCTTTTCACATATCTGTTTATGTACGTGTGTTTCTGTGCGCCTTCAACGGGACATTAAGTTATATATTGTAGCTGTCAAATGGAAAGTGAGTGTCTCCAAAATGTCAGAAAAACTGCCACATTGTCAGGAAAAGCAGCTCGGTGACGGCGCACGTCGATATCGTCCAATAGGCTGTGAAAGGGCAACGCAGAACTTTAAAAACACTTCGATTAAACTCAAATTACGGGCTTTTAACACAGAAACAAATTGAGGATTGCTTTGGAAATGATAAAACAACTGCTAACATAAGTGGTAACTTTACAGTTTATTGTGTCGTAAGCTGAATTTTATACGCCATAAACTGGTCTGTTGTTTAAGTACACCGGTAAAATTACAGTTCTGTTGTCGTGGGAAGGATGAGTAAACCACCGTACCAACAGAGATGCCACCATCTAAAATTAAAGCAAGTTTATTTGTTGAAGGTGCTGCCATGCTGTTTGTGTAAAGTTTGAATGAATTTGATATCATTTCTTGTGTTTCCCAATGTTTTCCTTTCACCGCGTCGGCCATGCTCCTCTGTCTCTGCCCTCTTGTTTGTCTCCGTGTTAGTTTTTCGTACTTTCATAGTTTTTTTTGTTTTTGTTTTGCTTTGATATCTTTTACTTTTTTGTGTGCTTGACAGTTTTCTCTCTCCCTCGGTCAGTTGTCCGTCCATCTGTTTGCCCTCCACTTCTCCTCATGTTCCCAGGTTGTTCTTTGTGCTTTCCTCTACTTTTTTATTGTTTTGTTTTTTTACCTTATTTGTTTTAAAGCTCACTTGTTGGTGTCTAAACCTTCTACACACATAACAGAACCTTACCCAATTGATTTCAGTGCATTGTAAAAGTAACTTGATTGGTGGATGTCAGGACTTTTAAATTAATCATTTATGAGAATAGTTACACATACAGTCAAGTGAAAAGAATGTTTTCATAGGGCTCTGTGCAGTCCTGTGAGAAATTAAATACGGCTTGTGATTCAATAGTTTGTAAAACTACCTTAAGCAGCAGCTGGATGATTTTATCTGTCTCACAGATCATTGTGGAGACATTTTGGCCCACTCCTCTTTGCAGCATTATTTGTTTATGCACAGCTTAAAATCCCACTGCAACATTTCAGTCAGGTTAAGATCTAAACTTTGACCGGCTAATTGCAAAACCTTAATGCTATTCTGTTTTAGATTTACTGCTTCGCTTGGGATCATTGCCTTATTGCATGACCCAGTTTTGGACAACATTTGGCCTCACATTTGGCTCCAGAATACTTTGATATAAAGAGTAGTTCATGGTTAACTCAATGACCAAAAGGTGCCCAGGTCCTGTGGTTGGAAAACAAGCCCAAATCATCAACCCTCCACCACCATGCTTAACAAGTGTTTGTGTTGATATGCGATGCTTGGTTTGCTCCAAGTGCAGTCCTGTGTGTCTTGGCCAAAAGGCTCTGCTTTGGTCTCATCTGTCCAGCAGACACTCCTGGGAAGATTCTAGCATTGCATTAAGCTCAATGCTCCAGACCAGCAAACTGCCAAAACAGTTACAGAGGTGCCAATGATTAGTTACCAATGTTCATTTGATTAGCAGCACCGAGCTGTTACTTACCCTCTTAATTTCTATGGAAGCTCTGATGATGTTTTTCACAGGACTGCATAGAGTCCTATGCAAACATTGTTTTCACATGACTGTATTTATCTGCAAAATATACAAAATAAACTTGGACGGGTTAGCCCACCTGATTTACAGAGGGTGCATGAATAATTCAGAAATTAGTAATTAATCTAGCACGTTACCTATATTTTACAGAGGCCTGATGGTAGTTTGCCTGCATTAATATTTGCATGGGGGATTCAAGCGGTCCATTTACTGTAATACTATTTTTTTATAGCTAACTACATAAAACTACAAATGATTAGCGGCTGTAAAGGAAGAAAGTGAGTGTTGATTTTGTCATTCTCTGCTACAAGTGAGCAACATTTGACAATTCCCAACCCATTTTATTTCATCTTGACTGCTGTGAAGGAATATACAGGCAGTGCATTCCTCAGGCGGCACACACTTGACATTTTTTTTCAGTGCTCGTGCAACAGGACTGTGGTTGTGTCGTGCTCACAGGGCGACGTCATCATGGATAAATCTCACAAATCTGAGCCTGAGGAATACATCACTGTGACCAAGCATTTTATAGAAAGCCAGAGCTGACATTCTTGCCCTTTCACATAAAAAGTGGGTTGTTTTATTTTTGGGTGTTATGTATGACCTGTTAACAAGTGGACATTCTTTTGCAATAAAATCAACTGAGTGGTATTTTTCTGCTGGCTTGTGACCTTTTTGTGATACATTTGTTTCATTTTGCATGTACATTGTTTAAGTTTGCGGGAATGTGTACTTTTCAAAACTGGCAACACTGCTAATTAGTTTTTATGTGACTCTAATGGAATAACCAGTACTTAGGTTTATAAATAAGGGTTGCAGACCATCAGGACCAAACTGTGTTATATAACAACTTGTTAACATTTATACCTGAAGGCTAAATGGCATACTGGAAATCAAGAATGACCTTTCATTAATGACTTCCTAACATGTGTAACTGCGGTGCTGATGAAGTCTTTAATAAAGGGTCATGACTTTCTCAGTTCATAACGGGAAGTCAGATCTGTTGTTATAAATGTTAATAAGTCATTAATAAAAGGTTACGGTGTCTGTTTATTAATTTACCACTTCATAGGACATTTAGTTCTTGTCAGATCTATTGGCGGTTCTGACTCAGTCATCAATAAAGACTTATTACATTAACGCAATTCTTAAAGACTGATCACAGCATGTGGATTTTACAGCAAACAGTCAAATTAACTGTAAACTCGGAAAGCTGTGCCTAATTAGAAAGTGGTACCTTCAAATGTGTAAGAGATAGATCCACATACCAAAGGTGTGACTGCAATATTTTATCTGAGAGTAAGAAGATTGTAAGGAAGTTATAGATGTGAAGAGAGCAGGATGAGGTCCTGCTGTGCAGAGAGATTTTCTTCCAAAACAGAGCGCAGGCCAGAAAGTATATTTTTAAAGCCAGAAAGTTCAGTTAATCATAAAGTTATAAATATTGATCACAAAAGAGTTTCAGTCTCACGCAGATGTATTGTGATCATTTGTTGCCAAGTGGTAGAAACCAAGGTTCATGGTCATTTTGATGCTACCCTATGTGTGTGTTTTCTCCAGGTATTCTACGAACAGCTGTACCCGATATGGACAGGGAGACCCAGGACCAGTACCTGGTGGTGCTTCAGGCTAAAGACATGGGGGGGCACCTAGGAGGATTATCTGGGACCACCACTGTAACCGTCAGGCTTACCGATGTTAATGACAACCCACCACGCTTCACACAGAGTGAGTAACTCAGCAGCTTATACTGCTACCAAATAAAATATAGAACAGGAATAGAGAGGCAGCAGTCTGGGGAAAATTACTGCTGCAGAGAGTGCATCACATCCCACATACATGCACGCTAACTGTACATACTGCCCACTGCTCACGAGAGCACACGCCGTGCAAGAACAGTGGAGCCATCAGCCAGTGTAAAATAACTGTGTGTACTTTTAACCATTTTGTTATGCCTGTGTAAAGTTTCTAGCTTCCAATATAGGGAAGGGATGAAGAGAAAACAAACACTGAGCTGCATAACAGCATAAACACCATGTTTGTTTTGCACCAGAAGGCAGAAGAGTTGTTGGACCTTTCTGACCTGCAGGTCCTGTCAGGATTTTCACAGCAGCAGTCAGGCAGAGGAGATTCCTGCAGGGCTGCAAAGTACCTCATCAAACATTCAGCCATGGATTTAGCTTGCCTCTGCTATGATAGATCGGCTGCTATTTCCAACAGCAGCTACACTGTCAGATTATATCAGACAATCTGACAGCACGTCAATGTAGGAAACCCTAATTGGCTTCCTAATAACTTTGAATATGGTTAATTGAATTACACTGTTTGCAATCATGACATCGTTTTAGTAAAAATCATAGATGTGATAGGTCTTTCGCACTTGCAGTCTATGAAATATGTTTTTGATAAATGAAATCAAATTAAAATTTACTCTTGTGGATTAAACAAAATATAGACCAAATTAGCGGTTGGCATAATGGTGAAGATGATGTAATCAAGACGGGTTATTAGATATTGTCCTGTTGGCGATTATAATGTTAATCATTCTTCCAAATAGGAGGCAGATCTTCCTCTTCATGTACTAGACTGATGTGAATAAGACAGGCTGGGATTAATTAATTCTCTTCTTTGGTATGTCACCAAAAGAATGGTAGGTGTGTTCTTTCATACCCTCGAAAGGACAAGCTAGTTAGGCCTCCTGTGAATGATCAAGAGAATCATGTGGCCTTGGTCGCCAGGGTTCTCCTCGTATTTTACTTAAGGTCGTCCTTTCTGCCATTTCTCCTCTAAGCAGCTCCGTCTCCTCCAGTTTAATTGCTGACCTTCTTCCAATTAAAGTGACGAGGACAGGAGTTGGGAAATCACTTTTGTATGACTGCTGTAGAGGAGCTGGTAGGAACCATACAGTACTATGCATAGTTTACTTCCAAGGACCTTGACTTTCTTACAATTTTTTAAAATGGTCTTGATCAGTAGCCCTTCAGCTTTCTGAGGGTCTTTCAAAGTTTTTCTTTGGATATTTGCTGGTTTCCACTCATTTTCAGTCCAGTCCTTATACTGACCATTTTTAGAAGGTTTATGTATTTATTTAATAATATGTGCTATCACTTATAATGCTGAGATATGAATCATCAAAGCCTGAAAAAAGAAACATCACTCAAGTAGTGAGCCAGTTTTGTGTCTATACATCAAAGACAACTTGGCAAAGAACCCATTTTAAATTGTATCTGTAGGATAGATGATGGATCTTTAGGCACTCTGTTACTCTTAGCCTCTAATAAAAGCATTTAATGTGTAACAGTTTCTTCAGTTGTATCTATAAAAATGTACCAAGAATCTATCATAGTTTGACAAATATAAAGCAGTATTTTTTTAACAAGAACTATTAGCTGAATACTTGGCGTATCTCAGCATAGTGTACATTATGTAAATAAAAAAATCAGAAGGAACTGCTCAAGTGGAGGACAAAAGAATCGATCTAAAACAGATCAACTGTATATGACAGGCATGTCCTTAAGAGGCATTAAAAAATTCAGCAAAGACCTGAAACAAGAACTGAGAGATGCATCTTGGCCTTCGGTTGATCCATATTTGCCATTTTCTTAGCAATATATGGAGAAAAGAGGATCGCCTCAAGACTGTACAGTACTGTAAGTTACTCTACTAAAAGTGTTAATGAGATAGATAGATAGATAGATAGATAGATAGATAGATAGATAGATAGATAGATAGATAGATAAAAAATAACAGCATAAAGCATCTTTGGCATAGCAATTGTATTCTTACACGTTTTTTCTTTTCATTAGAACTTTGGAGCTTTGGTGTGATCTGAAGGCTGTTGTAAAATAGGCGCGACTACAATTTGAAATTCTTTTCTATAAATGAAATTCAAGGCAAAGTCATTTTAAATGTGTGACTGAACCAAGCGTACTCAGACATTAAGTTTGAAAGATACAGCAATTGCTTGTTGTTGAGCTTCTCCCAGTTTTCATATAAGTCACTGAGTCAGAAACTTATAATTAAACGGATTTCATATAATTTCGTTGTCAGAATAAGGATTTTAGCTCACATGGTAGTGGGATTTTAATATTTCCTGGTAATATTTAGACATTTTATTTATCAATAATAGCTGTCGATATGTATGCTGATCATAACAGTGTGTTTAGAGTTTAGATGGAGTTACAATCTTAGTAGTAGTATAACTAGTTTGCATTTCTCTGTGCTGTGCTGAAAAAGTCACTGTTTTCTAAATCAAACAGCATGGGGTGAAAGTGCCGTAGTGTATCAGAAACCACAGGAGCTGTAGAGCATTTCCGATGCTCAAGCACAGGGAAGCTTTCAGCTAAAATCTGATGGAAAACTTGAGATGCATGCATGACTCCATCACCGAATACGGTTATGCAGGTAAAGCCGACAGAACCGCTTCCATTTGACAGTGACATCATGTACCAATTCTTGGAATGAGGTCTAACACGGGAGCAAAGGAAAACAGACTCAGGAGCTTGAGACTTGGTCTGTGCCATGACTGTGCTTTGAAAAATTCATGAGTTTCATTGTTTTTGTTGCCAAATTGCCAAGGTTTTGGAGCTGTGAGAGCACCTCTTGTTAAATACAGAATTTAAATGAACTGCAGATCTGTTTCACTGATACTTTTATTCACCAATTTGGTTCATTTAAAGTAATTTGTTTTAAACGTAGCTTAAAATGTAATATCTTTGAAAGGCTTTTGTAGCTCAGCTTGCTACGTTAGCTTCAGTGTCATTTGAGGTAATGTAGAATAACTGATGGCTTACTCATATGCTTCCAAGTAGCACGTTCTAAGCTGTGTAACAGCCTCTGTTATAGCACCACCTGGTCATCTTTTTTTAATGAGCAGTGAGTAAATCCACAATATGTTCTTAGTGAATGTAGAGCAGTGACACGCACCTGTCCCTTTAGCCAGGTCTCCCTGCTGGAGTCTCAAATACATCTCTTTTGTGACAGCCATCAAATATGAACACTTTAAAGTACTCCTTGGTCTCATATCCAAACCCATTTGGTAAATGCAATTTTTCAGTGTACAAAGACATGTTTTAACCCAAACAACGACCTGTTTCGAAGTTAATCAGTTAGTTTTTAGTTGCTGAATCTAACCGGTGAATGAAACCAAGGGTAAGCAGCAAGTTAAAACAATAGAAACAAACCGCAGCACTACTCCCACAACCTGTGCAACTGTTGGATCAGTCTACGTTCCACATGCATTACTTGCACAGGGTGATGTGCTATTTGATAAAAGCTTTGCCAAAATTGGGGTAATGATGTACTGGAGTAGCAGATTTGCTAACTGAGCTGAACCTCCATCAAGGATGGTGTTTTGGACCTGAGGCCTGGAGGGCTTCTTGGAGGAAAGCTGGGCCCTGTTTTGATCTTTGTGGGTGATGAGGAGTCTCACGGTGCTGGTAGCTCCTTTAAACCTTCACCGTGCACCAAAATCTGTTGGCTGTTACCTCCTCATGTTCTTCTGATGACTCCCTGTATGAGTTTGCTTTGCTGAATGCACTGATGTTAACCTACACGTAACCTAGAGAATTTGTGTGTGTGTCTCGGTGTGCAAACAGTCCACATATTCCTACGTTTTTCTGGATGTCTGTGTGTATCCCTGAGCCTCTGCTTGCCTTTTTTTTTCTTCCCCCTCACGCACTCATGCTCTCTTGTGCTTGCGCGAACACCATCAAAGCCTGCCACCCCGCCGCTCTACTCAATTACACACCCAGGCTTTTAAAAAGACACCCTCAAATCCGGCTCCCGCGTCTCCCAAGGTCAACACTGCTTATTCCTTGTGGCATTTAGCAAAGGGAGAGGATTACACTGGTACGTATGAACCAGGTATTGGCTGTACATTATAGCCTTAACAAGAAGGAAAAAAAACAGCCTGCTTTGTGGGCTTGTCTCTTCACAGAGCCCTTGAATTTCTCACTATCCAAAACATGATTTTAGGAACTAAGTGGGTTTGTTGTGTGTTCAGTTTTGAAAGCCATCAGGGGATTTCTTGTGCCCGGAGGAGGCAGTATAGCAAAGGGAAAGTAGGCTACGGTGCAGATTGGAGGTTTTTTGTCTAAATGATTAGTGGAGATTGTGGGATATTTTCAGATGCTTCACTGGCAAACATAACGCTCTAAACACTCTTTATCAAATGGCATGCATTGTGCTCCAAATGTATTTGGACAGGACCTTGTTTCTTTTAGATTTTAGTTCTTTGGTGCAGGGAAGGCTTTTAATTTTAGACCCATCCATATCAAATTGTTAAAGAAAAAGCACTTTTTGAACAGCTGTGTACGGCAACAACGCAAAAGCAGCGAGAAATCGTTTTCCGTAGCCTCCTGACACAAATTCAGAGTTATAGAAGTTTTATCCCAGAAACATGATTCCACTTAGAAGTGTTAATACTGGGAATACCCGCTTCTCAGCGGGTCTGCTTTTTATGACACAAGTAAACTAAAAAAATGTTTGTTTTCAGCGACGCGTCGTTAACAAGCCAGACGGCTGTCTGTTCCTGTCTCATTTCACATCAGCTCTTTTCCTGATTAAGCTGTTAATTATGCCGGTGCAAAGTGGAATACATGGATGAGTAATTGTGTGAAAGTAAACATGGGTACTGGGTATCAAATGCAAATAATTAACTCTCTGTCACCCCGCTTCAGGACTGCTATAGTAAATGACTTTCTACTGGAAATCCGGCAAAGACGATA